GGTCTGTACCATGAGATAGGGTTGGATGGAGAAACGGCTAGAAGTGGTCAATTTGATTGGAAAAAGTATGAGAATTCAAGTTAGAGATTGAGGATTCGAATGGACACAAAATATATGCTAAAATGTGAAGGAAAAAAACTAAACCGATTCAAGAATTCCTGTATGTACTGTGAGTTGGGTTGGATGAAGAAAATGCTAGGAGTGGTCAATTTGATTGGAAAAAATTTGAGAATTCAGATTAGAGGTTGAAGAGTCGAATGGACACAAAACATTTGCTAAAACATAACTTAACTGATTCAACAATACCTATATGTACTGTCAATTGGGGTTGGTTGGGGCAAAGGGTAAGAGTGGCCAATATGATTGGAAGAAGTATGAGAATTAAAATTAGAGTTTGAGGATTCGAAGGGACACAAAAGATATGCTAAGATATGAATGAAAAAAACTAAACCGATTCAACAATTCATGTCTATACCGTGAGCTAGGGTTGGCTGAAGAAAAGGTTAGAAGTATCCAATTTGATTGGAAAAATTATGAGAACTCAAATTAGAGATTGATGATTCGAAAGGACACAACGTATCTCCACAAAAATGAATGAAAAAAACTAAACCAATTCAATAGTACCTGTCTGTACCGTGAGCTAGGGTTGGATGTAGAAAAATCTAGGAGTGCCAATTTGATTGGAAAAAATTTTAGAATTTAAATTAGAGATTGAGGATTCTAATGAACAGAAAAGATCTACCAAAACATGAATATAAAAAACTAAACCGATTCAACAATACCTGTGTACCGTGAGCTAGGGTTGGATGTAGAAAAGGCTAGAAGTGGCCAAAGTAAGCAATTTGATTGGAAAAAGTGTGAGAATTTGTATTAGAAATTGAGGATTCAAATGGACACAAAAGATATGCTAAAACATGAATGAAAAAACTGAACCAATTCAACAATACTTGTCTGTATCGCAAGCAAGGGTTGGACGAAGAAAAGGCTAGAAGTGGCCAATTTGATTGGAAAAAGTATGAGAATTCAAATTAGAGATTGAGGATTCGAATGAACACAGAAGATCTGTTAAAACATGAGTGAAAAAAATTGAACCGACGCAACAATACCTGTCTGTACCATGAGCTAGGGTTAGCTGAAGAAAACGCTAAAAGTGGCCAATTTGATTGGAAAAAGTATGAGAATTCAAATTAGAGATTGAGGATTCGAAAGGACACAACGTATCTCCAAAAAAATGAATGAAAAAAACTAAACCAATTCAATAGTACCTGTCTGTACCGTGAGCTAGGGTTGAGTGAAGAAAAGGGTAGAAGTCGCCAATTTGATTGGAAAAAGTTTGAGAATTCAAATTGAAGATTGAGGATCCGAATTAACACAAAAGATCTACTAAAACATAAATGAAAGAAACATGACCGATTCAACAGTACCTATCTGTACTGTGAGCGAGGGTTGGATGAAGAAAAGGCTAGAAGTGGGCAATTTGATTGCAAAAAGTATGTGAACTCAAATTAGAGATTGAGGATTTGAATGGACACAAAAGATCCACTAAAATATGAATGAAAAAAACTAAATTGATTCAACAATACCTGTCTGTACCATGAGCTAAGGTTAGATGAAGAAAAAGCTAGAAATGGCCAATTTGATTGGAAAAAGTAAGAGAATTCAAATTATAGATTGAGAATTCGAATGGACACAAAAGACCTGCTAAAACATTAATGAAAAAAACTGAACCGATTCAACAATACATGTCTGTACCGTGAGCCAAGGTTGGCTTAAGAAAAGGCTAGAAATGGCCAATTTGATTGGAAAATTATGAGAATTCATATTAGAGATTGAGGATTCAAATGGATACAAAAGATCTGCTAAAACATGAATAAAAAAACTGAACCAATTCAACAATTCCTGTATGTACCGTGAGCCAAGGTTGGATGAAGAAAAAGCTAGAAGTATCCAATTTGATTGGAAAAATTATGAGAATTCAAATTAGAGATTGAGGATTCGAATGAACAGAAAAGGTCTACTAAAACATGAATGAAAAAAACTGAACCGATTCAACAATACCTATCTGTACCGTGAGCTAGGGTTGGCTGAAGAAAAGGCTAGAAGTATCCAATTTGATTGGAAAAATTATGAGAATTCAAATTAGAGATTGAGGATTCGAATGGACACAAAAGATCTGTTAAAACATGAATGAAAAAAACTGAACCAATTCAACAATACATGTCTGTATCGTGAGCTAGGGTTGGCTGAAGAAAAGGCTAGAAGTATCCAATTTTATTAGAAAAAGTATGAGAATTCAAATTAGAGATTGAGGATTTGAATGAACACAAAAGATCTGCTAAAACATAAATTAAAAAAACTAAACCGATTCAATAATACTTGTCAGTACCGTGAGCAAGGGTCGACTAAGGCAAAGGCTATGAGTGTTCAATTTGATTGGAAAAAATATGAGAATTCGTATTAGAAATTGAGGATTCAAAGGAACACAAAATATCTGATAAAACATAAATGAAAAACACTAAACCGATTCAGTAATATAGTATGTACCATGAGCTAGGGTTGGGTGACGCAATGCTATCAGTGGTCAATTTGATTGGAAAAAATATGAGACTTCATATTAGAGATTGGGGATTCAATGGGACAAAAAAGATTTGCTAAAACATACATGAAAAAAACTGAACCATTTCAATTATACCTGTCTGTACCGGGAGCTAGGGTTGGGTGATGCAAATGCTAGAAGTGGCCAATTTGATGGAATAAATGTGAGAATTAAAAGTAGAGATTGAAGATTCAAAGGGACACAAAAGATTTGTTAAAACATAAATGAAAAAAATTGAACCATTTCATCAATCCCAATCTATATCTTGAGCTAGGGCTGGCTAAGGCAAAGGCTAGGAGTTGTAAATTTGATGGGAAAAAATATGACAATTCATATTAGAGATTAAGGATAAAAGGGATACAAAATATCTACTAAAACGTAAATGAAAAAAATTGAACCGGTTCACCAATACCGGTCTTTACCGTGTGCTAGGGTTGGTTGATGCAAAGGCTAGGAGTTTTCAATTTGATGGGTTAAAAATGTGAGAATTCACATTAGAGATTGAGGATTCAAAAGGACACAAAGATCTGCTAAAACATAAATGAAAAAAAAAAATGAACCATTTCAACAATACCAATCTGTACCGTCAGCTAGGGTTGGCTAGGACAAAGGCTAGGAGTGGTCAATTTGATGGGAAAAAAGTATGATAATTCATATTAGAGATTAGGGATTCAAAGGGACAAAAAATATCTGCTAAAACATAAATGAGAAAAACTGAACCATTTCTACAATACCAGCTTGTACCTTGAGCTAGGGTTGGTTGAGGCAAAGGCAATGAGTTGTCAATTTGATGGGAAAAAATTTGAGAATGCAAGTTAGAGATTGGGGATTCAAAGGGACACAAAAGATTTGTTAAAACGTAAATGGAAAAAACTGAACCATTTCAACAATATAGTATTTATTGTGAGCTCGGGTTAGCTAAGTCGAAGGCTTGTTGTGGCCAATTTGATGGGAAAAAATATGAGAATTCATATTAGAGGTTGGGAATTCAAAGGGACACAAAATATCTTCTAAAACATTGCCTACCGCAACCCAAAAACGTGAAGCCACGACCCCACCGTGTTCGACGCTACGTTATTCGCCTACTGTAGCACCCAAAAACCAAACTCAAGCTGCACCAAAACCACCCCCACCCCCCCCCCCCCCCCCCCCCCCATTGTAACACCTGAAACATTCCTGTGAGGTTGGTGATGCAGGGATGCGAAGATGGTGGGTGGTGTGGTGGTGCAGATGGTGGGCTGCGAAGGTTGGGTTTGGATAGGTTGTGTTGGTGGTGGATGTTAGGAGCCTAGATATTTGTTGGGTTATTTTTTTTATAAAAAAAAATATATATATATATATATTTTAAATTAATTTTTTTATTAATTTAAGTAATAAAATTATTTTATTTTTGTCCACATGGAAGTCCATGTCATCAAAAAATGGGGCTAATTTTTGCCACGTATGCATCTCGCAAATTCATTAATGGTTTAGGTAACAAATTGGGTAAATTGTAGGTTTTTCATAAATTTCAGTATATATTTGTTAATGTCCCCAAAGGTACTATGAATATAATTTAGGAGGTCTTTTGTAGTTTGTCCAAAAAAAATTTAAACAATCACTCCATAAACTTCAAAAGTAAAAAAAACCTACCCAACCCATTCCCAACAGGCATAACCTCCACCTTCCCCAAGCTCCACAAACGCATCACCCCACCGCCCCACTAACTTCCACTCCAAACCTCATGGAAAAGAACTTGTTAACTTGTTGGCCCAAACCCTCCCCAACTCGCTCTTCAACACATTTTTTCCCCTTATCTATATATAAAGCAAAAGATAGAGAATAGTGAAACATTCAAAATACCAGAAAATGCCTTTTGTTAATTCAAACATTAAGAATTAAAATTATTAATTAAATTAGGATAATATGGTAAATTCACATTTTTTTCATATTAAAAAAAATTAAAATTAAAAACAAAATCAAAAAATAGGTCTTACTTTTATGGAATATAAGTAACTACCCATGTTATCTTTTCTTAATTCTAAAACTAAAATAAAAAATAAAAAAGAAAACCAATTGGCACATGCGTGAGCATGTACCAATGGGCTAGTTAAGAGAATGCCTAAGGCTGGAGTCAAAATCTCGCATGGGGTTGACGGTATGTTAAAAGAACTTAGCTTACAATGTTAGCTAATGCATAAGGTAAATTCTCTCCTATTGCTCTGTAAAACTTACAACAGGAACGGATGACTTCAAGCTAAAACATCCGCAGAACAGCTGTGCAAGTGCAAACAGTCCCAGTTCTGCAAGCAAGAATAAGAAAAGATTTCCATACTCAAGGCATTTTAGACAACTGAAAAAAAATATACAAATAATTGATGCAACAACTTTCAACAATGCAACTATGTCTCTTACGCCTGCTGTTTCATGGTCCTCTCATCTTCTCAACGATGTTTCTACTCTTCTCCTCAATGTGGCGCCTCTTTTCTTCCAATTTCTCCCCCATCTTCTTCCCCAGATCAAGCATCCTTGCTTTTCTCCCCATTCTCTTTCGCCTTGATTCATCTTCTTCAATGATATGATTCTCTTTATCCAACAATATAGTAGACCTCGATGGTGATGGTGATGGTGATTGACTCTCTGGTGTATCCCCTAGCTTGTGTTTGAAAGTGTCTTGTGGTTCACCATTCCCCAATAAAGGGGTTCTCAATTCTTGAATAGTCGCATCAGTACTCCCGGCAGACGGATCATTGGAACTCACTGAAAAGACTAATGCATCTGAGGATTCACCAATTGGCTGTCCAATAGACTCGGCCTTCTTGAGTTTTTTATCCTTAGGTTGTGAATGATCACTGGAGGTTCCCTTGTTAGCTTCTGTCTTGTATTTTCCTTCAGTAGGTTGGCAGATGGGTACTTCACATACAGTGGTGGGATCATTCACGCATTCTTGGTTAAGCCATATGAAAGGAGCAACTGTTCGGGGTAACCAATCATCCTTTTCTGCTAACATCCATGGTATGCATACACTTTCGAAGTTCGGAAGAACTAGAGTTTCTCGGATTGCTGTCTGTACAAGTAAAATGAAGCTTCAGCAGAAGCACCTAGCAATATTGGTTGCTTCCACATATCACTTGAGGTTTTTTAGCGAAAAATCTAAGCATAAGATTGTATGCATGCCATCAAGGACACTAGAAAAATATTTGCAAAAAAGATGCTCAAAGTTTAAGATCAATGGAAGGGAAAATACTTCCCTATCCTGCTTCATCAAATCAAAACATTGGAACGACAGAGAGTAGCTACACAGTAACTTACAGTAACAAAAAAGGATAAAAGATGAAACCATAAATTTATGGTGTAAAGCATTCTGTTGAGCTGAGCTTAGTAGCCTTTATACACTTATAGATAGATTTTTCCGAAAGCAACAATAACTTATTTACGAGCTTATATTTGAAAAAATAAAAGAGATATTAGAACCATGTTTAAACTAAGGTGACATTAAGTAGTTCAGACAACATAGTAACAATCATGGTGTCTCATGCTTGAGTTGTAGGCATGTTTTGAGATCAAAAAAGTAATAGAAGGAAAATTAGCGAAGATGGAATGTACCTTAAGTCGACTGATCAGAAACAAAGCTATACGTCCACTAGTAATCTTGTGATCTCCCACTGACGAGTCCAGGCTGAAATCTATATCAGGCATGGATGTGAAGGCAAACCATAACCGGTCTGAAGGAGGTGACTATATGTAACCGCAGTGTTCCTCGAAGGGATGCTGTTCTTATTTCCAAAGAGAGAGGCACCTTTAGTTAGATATAATCAGTCAGTCAGTGAACTGCAGAAGCTCTTGTGATAAATAACCTTTTTTTTTTGTATGAATACAGACACATATAAATAGGAGAGAGAGAGTCCAGATGACAAACACATTAACTCAAAGAAACTTATAACCAGTATCTATTCGTGATTATAAATCCCTTTGGCAATGCCCCTCTCTAGAAAATACAAACTCAATTTTCAAATGACTATGCTCAAACTTTTTTTCCAGATACTTGGATACAACTCAACTATCCAACAGTTGGTTTACTCTTCATGGTCTAATCGTCTCTCTCTACAGTCATGTCTTATAAGATGATGCTACAGAGAAAAAGGGCCAACTCAAATACACACATTATTGCTCAAAACAAAAAACTAACCACCAAATATCTGCCTCAATGAAGGGGACAGCTATTATGGAGATAAGCAAAAGCCATGTTTCGCATGGAATCAAGCCATAGAAACAAAAGTCTACAGAATAAAACATATAGGTCAGATAGCCCATCTACAAACCTGTGAAACTAGTTTGGCAATGGAATTTAGAAGTGACTTCCACCTTGATCCATAATTTGATGAAGACCTATTGCTCTTAGAGCTCTTTGATCCATCTGCAACCTTGAGCTTGAAAAGGAGGTGAGGGATCTCAAGTCACTGATTGAGGTATAGAGGTCTGGTGATGTTCAGGTTTGTCATAAATTACAGAATTTGCAATAGTTTCTGGTTAAATTTGGATATCGGGTGTGCGTTTATGTTGCTATCATTTATAATACTGATCATGATCATGATAGCGCATGGAGATATATACTTGCTATAATATGCATGCAATTATAAAACCACTAGCTAGGACGTGTATTTAAGATTATCAAAGAATCTTTGACTTAATATCTTGTTATTATAACCTAGCTTAAGTGAATGTTTTGAGGTATTTATGTTCATGTCTTTTATAGTTCTATTATTATTGCCTCAATTTTGTTTGTATTTGCAGTGAGATGACTCAGTAGTTACATCAGAAGAAAGAAAGTTGAAAGATGAAGACCTGCCTAGCCTAAAAAAGAATGTTATTTCCCCATTGAAGAAGGACAAGGATAGACTTGTTAGGAGAAGAAAAGTAAACAAGTGGAGCTCTTTGGAAGAGGACACCTTGAGGGCTGGTGTAGAGCAGTATGGAGTGGGACGTTAGAAGTTAATCTTGACTAGCAATCAGGGCATCTTTGGAGAGAGGACACAGGTACCAAGTTGTGTAATTTTTTTCAACGGCTCTTATTTTATTTTGTAATTTGAAATGTTTGTTTTCATGATCTAGGTTGATTTGAAGGACAAGTGGAGAAATTTGATACGACGGAACACGCACCAGTGATTAGCTTGCTAGTCGGTTATGATGTATAGATGTTTAGGGTTTAGATGTTCCTAATACCCTGTTCTGCCAGGGCTTCTTGTCTTTGTGCAGTTATAGTTATGAATGGTCTCCCAAACCATCAACATTTGGATCACAGTTACGCTTGAAAAAAGGATGTCTAATCTTGCTTTTGAGAGTTACCACACATAACTCCCATAAGCAAAACTATACATCTTTTTTTCAAACGTAACTGTGATCCAAATGTTGATGGTTTGGGAGACCATTCATAACTATAACTGCACAAAGACAAGAAGCCCTGACAGAACAGGGTATTGGGAACATCTAAACCCTAAACATCTATACATCATAACCGACTAGCAAGCTAATCACTGGTGCGTGTTCCGTCGTATCAAATTTCTCCACTTGTCCTTCAAATCAACCTAGATCATGAAAACAAACATTTCGAATTACAAAATAAAATAAGAGCCGTTGAAAAAAATTCCACAACTTGGTACCTGTGTTCTCTCTCCAAAGATGCCCTGGTTGCTAGTCAAGACTAACTTCTAACGTCCCACTCCATACTACTCTACACCAGCCATCAATGTGTCATCTTCCAAAGAGCTCCACTTGTTTACTTTTCTTCTCCTAATAAGTCTATCTTTGTCCTTCTTCAATGGGGACATAGCATTTTTTTTTAGGCTAGGCAAGTCTTCATCTTTCAATTTTCTTTCTTCTGATGTAACTACTGAGTCATCCCACTGCAAATACAAACAAAAATTGAGGCAATCATAATAGAACTATAAAAGACATGAATATAAATACCTCAAAACATTCACTTAAGCTAGGTTATAATAACAAGATATTAAGTCAAAGATTCTTCGATAATCTTAAATACATGTCCCTAGCTAGTGGTTTTATAATTGCATACATATTATAGCAAGTATATATCTCCACACACCATCATGATCATGATCAATATTATAAATGATAGCAACATAAATGCACACCCGATATCCAAATTTAACCAGAAACTATTGCAAATTCTGTAATTTATGACAAACCTGAACATCACCAGACCTCTGTACCTCAATCAGTGACTTGAGATCCTTCACCTCCTTTTAAAGCTCAAGGTTGCTTTCTCTGAGGCACTGGATTTCTTCTGCCACCTACAAGAAATGACTAACTCTTACTTCCAAGTTGACAAAAAAAAACCTCTTACTTCCAAGAGAAACAACCAATTGTAAAATGGGTATAAAAAGCAAAATGATATTACCAAAGCAATGTGCGTATGTGTGCGTTTCAAATTCATAGGACCGAAAGCAATATATAGCCGGGCCCAATGTTAAAAACATATTACAAGTTACAAGAGTATAACCAAAGGACTGAAGCGTCATATTACATTACACTACAAAATTACAACAACAACAAAAGAAGAAGAAAAAGAAAAAGAAAAAAAAAGATGAGACAAATTTACAATGACAAAACTAAAATCGATCAGTTTCAAGAAAAGCAATAATATATTTTCTAATACAACAATAAAAGACATGAACATAAATACCTCAAAACACTTACTTAAGCTAGGTTATAATCACAAGACATTAAGTCGAAGATTTTTGTTCATCTTAAATATATGTATACTACTCCTGGTGTTTGAAGCAACCTACTTGATACATTCTTTCTATTTATTTTTCTTTTATGTTTCCTTCTTTTTCATATCGGAAATTAGGGCGAAAGCAATGTAATTTTGATATGTAGCTTTAGAAAAATATGTGCTTAATTATAAATTCCTTTTCTTTGGCACGTTAAACTAATTATAAATTCATGTTCTTTGACAAATTCAAATTATAATCACAAGATATTAAGTCAAAGATTCTTTTATCATCTTAAATACACATGTCCTAGCTAGTGGTTTTATCATTGCACACATATTATAGCAAGTACATCTTCACGCACCATCATGATCATGATCAGTAAGTACTATCAATAACAGCAACATAAACGCACACCCAATATCCAAATTCAACCAAAAACTATTGCAAATTCTATAATTTATCACAAACCTGGTCATCCACCAACCTCTATACCTCAATCAGTGACTTGAGAAACTTCACCTCCTTTTCAAGCCCAAGGTTGCTTTCTCTAAAGCGCTGGATTTCTTCTGCCACCTACAAGAAATGACTAACTCTTAACGTCGATGATGCAGGATACGGGTGAATATAGTATTTGGGTAATTTAGCAGAAGCGAAAACAATGGAAAAACATAAAATAGGTGGTAAAAGACACCTAGGCTTCACACCAAAAGAGTTTTGGCTTCACACCACGGTGTCTCCAATCTCTAGAAAGTAAACTTTTCTTAATATCTCAAATTTGAATTTTAAAGAACTACATGGGGGGTATGTATAGCAAACTAAAATCTAGAGACAATAGGATAAAATCTCTCACTAAAATAGAAATCCTTATCCACCAAGGAACTAAGTAAAATAAACTAGGAAACTTAAATCAAATGCTCCTAAAAATCTAGAATCTAAAATCCTAGTGAAATCTGGAAAACTAGAGAATCTATGAAACTAATAAATCAGAAAACTAACTAATGATGTCCGCATCAATTCTCCCTGGCTGAAAAGATCTCGACTCCGGCTAGATAAAGCTGTAATAACATTCCAAAATGTCGGGATCAATGTGCGGCAGGTCCTTTGTAATCCGAGTACTACGAGAATAAGGTTTAACTTCCACTTGACTAGGAACTTCTGCATCTTCCTTACATTCTTTAAGCGTAATGATATGTACAGCTTTGGTTTTACCTACTTTGTCTTGCTCCTCTTTGTTTGGTATAGATTTATTCACGAGCTTGGGTTGAAGTGGCTTCATCGTGATCTTCTTTCCTTTATGGATGAACGAACATATATTTTCTTGACCCAATATGGTAGCATTATAATTGTAGATCCATGGTCTTCCCAAGAGAATGACTCACATCCATATTCACCACATCACACCAAACATGAACTTTGTAAAATGAAAACTGTATAGGAACGTGACATCATTAGGTAACAGGGATAGAAGATGTATTGTCAATCCATGCTACTCTGTACGGTTCAAGATGCTTTTCGGTCGATAAGCCAAGACGCGAGACAGTTAGCGTTGATACAACATTGATACAACTGTCATTATCTATGATCACTTTCCAATCTTTATCACCGGACTTGATGTAAGTGTGGAAAATGGAAGTCCTACGCCAATCCTTAGTTTCCTTCCTAGGTTGAGCCAAAGTACACCTTACTACTGCTAATGTTGGATGAGGGACTTCAAGGTCGTTTCCACAATCTTCAGCAGGTTGCTGGGGTTCATAAACATCTTCTTCAAAATCGCCTTGATCGTCAATTTGTTCGTAAATGCTTGTTATCAGACTTCTTGTTGTCTCCTTCGTTGGGCATTGGGCAGCAAAGTGTCCAAAACCTTGGCATTTATAATATCTTTGTGCGTCCACCATTCCGTGTATCCACTAGTGCTCCTTTTCCTTTGTCAACTTTAGCTGAATTTGTCATAGTAAAACCCTT